CTAACCCAAGGCTAAGGGAACATACCGGTACCGTACCTTACCGTATTACAGAAGGTGCACTCACTCGTTCTGAGGCAAAAACCGCAGCAAAAGCTCCACGAAACTCAAAAACTAGCGGTATCCACGTCCTTACGGCTTCCATTTTGTTGCGTATGAATGTTTCCCTGAACATTGATTTTTTTTTTATTTCCGTAACATAGTCCAATCAGCAATAAGTAAACTCTGACGCAACAATAAATTTATTTATCAAGTGGATCAGACACTTTTTTCGCTCCAACACATATATAAACGCAACAAAATAACAAACAAAAATAACGCAATAAATACATAAAATACCTGATATGACAATCAGATTCACAGTAAGTCTCAAAAAAGAGTTATAATATAGCAATTTAAGAGACCAAAAGTGAGGTATAGAATCTAAGATAGCCCGTAACAAACAGTATCTGCGAATCAAATAATGATTGTAATAGAATGTTATTGGAGTTCCTGCATCTCGTCATGAACAACCACAGATTTTTTCTATGGAGTGCTTCGAAAGAGGGAATGTTCCCAGATACCATTTTGTGACGAACACTCTCAGATCTAGAGACATAGTGAATTACGCGATAAGCATTATTATATGAAATTTTAACTTTTTTATAATTAGAATTATTGAAAAACAACCAGAGCTGGCAGTTATAAATGCTACAACAATACGTACTAAATAAAAGAATTTTCACAGTAGTGGAACAATTGACAAATTTTTTCGAAATTGTATGGGCTATAAAATAAATTGATTTATACTGACGTTTCAAGTCAAGGTCATCTCTAAGATCACTGGATAGGAAAACACCAAGATATTTAGTGGACGAAAATAAAATCAATACAGAATTACAAAGTTTGATATCAGGCAAATTATTCAGCCTAAACTTTTTATTCTGGATACACATACAAACAGATAGATAGATACCGGTATCAGTACCTGCAAGAGGCACGTGGTTGAATATTTTATTTGAAAAAAAGAATGACGATCTTACCCACGTAAACAGTTTTAAAGTGCCAATTATCTAAAACACCCTCAAAATAAGCATCAATTTTTTATACTGAAGTGAAGTATAAAGGAAACTTCTCGGGTGTCAAAATATTTCTTCCTCGCATTCCAGATTGTGGTGTATAAAAAAAATGGGAACTTGATGTATATCCATGCGTAACAATTCCGATGCTTGCTAATTGTTATGAAGGTAAGTTATCTGATTAGCCCAGTCAACCGATCATAAAGAATAATATAACGGCGAACACACGTGAAATGGAGTTATACAGGAAAATCGACAAAACCTTTTATTTCACCCGGAAACGCAACTGAAAACTGACAAATAACACGCAAAACCACGAAAACGCGGCAATGTTTACAAGTTACAACCATGCATGAATATCCGTATGAGCGTACGAAATGTATGCACAACTTGCAATTGTTACGTCATTGTCGACTTATTCCTAATTGGTCATTGTTACAGACGTAAACAAGGAAATCAATGTTCGGGGAAACACCACATATCACACACCGTATGTTTATCTATAATACCGATGCTGTTAAATTTTACGACACAGAAGCAAACGTACACGCACCCCTTATCGAAACCACGAGTGGGAGACGGGAGTGTGGTGGAAATTAAACCAGTCGTCGCGTTTTTTTGTTTATAGTATTTATCATCGACGCAGGGTTTTACGTCAGTACCGTACGTTAATGCGCAAACCAGCAAGTCGACTGTTGAGTTGACGCGATCTTTTCGGCGACGAAAAAGCTGCGATAATTTTACGGGATTATAATAAGACTCAACAGCATTGACAGGCAATAGCGGTACCAATTGTAGAACAAGGAGAGACATCCATGATTCGCAGGTACTTGGCTATACCGTCAGACCGTAACTGTACCAGGGTACCGAAATTGCTCGGATTTAGGTTAATTCGTTATAGGCTATTACCGTACCGCTAGGTACCTACCTACTGTATTAAGCATTTCGTTAGAACAGTGATTGAGTTTTTTCCATTTTCTTCATTCAGTTGATTTGAAAGGTGTTTGATTATCCATCCATACCCAAAACATTTGTTCAGGCTCCAAATCAGTACAGCAGTAAGACCTTTTCAAATTTTCGAGTCCATTTTCAGATTTTAATGTTTTTTTGAATATTTGTGAAATTTACGTTACTCCTGTAATGCCTTACATTAAAAGTATTTCATTAGAATACTGATAGAGCGGTTTTACTACTTACCGTACTGAATACAGCGCGAAACACCGCAAAGAGCGCGAAACACCGCAAAACAGAGGGAAACAGCGCAAAAAAGTGGAGAAACAGCGCGAAAGAGCGCAAAACAGAGGGAAACAGTGTGAAGCAGAAAAAAATTTTGCAATGAGTTCGGGGCACCTTGTTTTGAGTTGGAGTACCACGGCAACAAATTAAAAACACAAACCAACGTATGTGCCAGTAATGCTGTAATGACAGGTCTGCCCCTGCTGGTGACACATTTTGGGTACCATAATTTAGAACATTTTCCATATGGATATGGTTGGCTTTAGGGTTAGGGTTAGGTAAAAAGGGACCTCCAGAAGTATGTGCACCAAGATGGCGCACAACCTGAAAATAGTATGTGTGTGTGTAGCGGATTCAGGTTGTGCGACATATTGCTGCACATACTTCTGGAGGCGCAGTTCTCACCACTTCATGGCAGCTCCTGCCACGAACGAACCGCGGCAGCTCTTGCCATGGTTTTATAGCGCTATTCAGTATTCAGTATTAACGGTATATTCACAAATTAATGTACCAGATTTTAATTGATCATGTGGAATTATATCTACTTAAACCCTAACCCCAAATCAATCAAAACTGTATCCATAAGAAAAACGTTCCAACTTACCCAATATTTGTCACCATAATAGACAGCCCTGTCTTTACGGCCCACCTGCCGCGGTTACGGCAGCAAAATTTTACCTGCCATTGGTTTTCAATTTGCTGCCGCAGTAACGGCAGCTCGACATTGGTTTGTGGCAGCTAAAGAGTCAGTTGCCATGAGTTTGGCCGTAGCGTCCATGGTAAGGAAATACCGCCATGGTTTTGCGGCAGCTGCAGATGCCACAGAATACTTAAAACTGCACTTGTACTTCTGGAGCACCAAAAAGGTAGATAAAATTTTGCATGATGACTTATAATCTGGTACATAACCTTGTAAATATACCGGAAATAGCGCCATAAAACCATGGCGAGAGGCGCTGTGGTTCTTTCGTGGCAGGAGGTGGTAATGACTGCGTCTCCTGTTTTGCTCTGTTTCGCGCTGGTTTCATTCTGTTTCGCGCTGTTTTCCTCTATTTCGCGCGATTTTGTGTTGTTCGCGCTGTATTCAGTAAGTAGTAAGACCCCTGATAGAGTCGTTGTACAATTTCTTTATTTACCTTTTTTCTAATTTATGTGAAATTTACGTTAATTTGCTATTTTAAAAACATATCATCATAATAATAATAAAGGTTTTGCCCAATGTTTTATTTGATTTGAATGGGGTTTGAATCATTCATCCATAGCCTACTTAAATCTTTTTTTAGCCCCAAAGGCCGAGCAGATACTCTATACCAGGGCTACTCAACTGGCGGACCGCGGTCCGAATCCGGACCTTTCGAGTATTGGATTTGGACCGCACCTAATTATTTATTTTGGATCATCAGCCCCACTTTTTGACTTTCCTATCATAAAATGATTTTCATAGTTTTGAATATAATATATAGGAAAAGAAATATAACACCATAATAAACAATTTTAATATGCTACTAATTATTAGTCGGTCGAGGAAATGCTCGTTTAAGGATGCCGAAATATCAGTTCTGGAAAGACCGGACCCAAATAATTTTGAAGTTTTGTTTGCGGACTTTCGATAAAAATAGTTGAGTAGCCCTGCTCTATACCACTAGTATCTGTAATATAGCTGTATAGAGGGTTTAGTGTAGTACCATACAAGAGTCATCACATTTCTGCATTTGTTGTCCCTGCGTGGTGATAGTACAGGTGATCATCTCTATACTTTGGTAAGCTCTATTAGGTGGCCGTGATGTCGCAGTAGCATAATTTTTAAATTTGGTAGTCAGATGGGGATTTGGATTATTTGCCTGTGAGCGTTTATGACCTGGCTAGGCGTAAACACAAGTTTATCCTCCTTTTATTATTCCACTTAATAACACTAGTCTAAATAGTTGGTATGGTGATTTTTAATTTGTTATTGATGAAATTACATCCATGGATTATTCCGTTATGCTATGCTTTATTGAGTCTGAATAGATGTTGCTGTGGCAACAAGTCAGCAACTTTGTTAATTTGTATGGGAATACTTGTTTCAACGTAATTTAATATATTTTAATATATAAGTCCTCAATTAATATATAGCCTGAGCACTCTTTAAATAAACTGTCAGTCATCTAAAGAGAATGCACCATGTAGAAAAATGAAACAAGATATTTGAACTACCTGAAAGGCATTCTGATTGTCAATTTAGATTTGTATATAGGGTCTAATTGACATTATATTCCAGAAGATAATAGTTATGGTAATTAAAATTTACTAATATCAAAAGAAAATCTTCTAATATGGATGATGAACCATTTTTTTCGCAAGATGAACTCAAGCCACCACAGCATGAAAGGTGGGCACCTCTTGGAGCTGCCGCATCTCCCGATCCAGTAATTTTCACGGAACCACAAAGGATAGGGGGCAGCGAGGAAAAAATAGAAGTTTTGGAAAAGGAGAAACAAGACCTTCAGCAATCTTTATTTTCACTTACTTCACGGTTTGCCCAAATACAATTTCGGCTTCAACAGATTATAGAGGCTGACCCACAAGATAAACCTAAAATTACTAGAAGAGTTGGACGCACTTGCAAATCAAGGATGTATTGACAGCAGCGTTGTTTACAGAGTGAATGAACCAGCGGATGATGAAAAAATAACAGAGGAAAAACAATTAGAAAATCATGAAGAAATCATACGCGAGTTGAAGAACCAGTTAGATGATCTGGAAAATTATGCTTTCAAGCATGGCTCTGGGGATGTTCCTCAATCTGTAATGCTAACAGAAGCAACAGGTCGTATTGGATCAGCTCATAAGCAAGCTGAATTTGAATGTAAATCGGACAGAACTTGCTCAATCATCGATTGATGACCTCAAAGGTAGAGTCAATGATGCAGTTGATGAAATTATAAATCCTGCCAAGATCAAGGAAAAATTAGTTGATCATCTCCAGACACAAATTCAAGATCTTGAGCGTTTTGTCAAATTTTTACAAATTGAGGTTGAATCAGAAGGAGCACTACCAAAATCATCTGGATCTGTCCCTGGTAACATGGATGATGATGTAAGGCGAGAGCAAAAATCACAGAATTTGGCTTTGCTCAGGCGGGCTTTGAGCATTCTTCAAGTATTTGCTATTACACAACTTGGATGTGGTACAAAATCAATGCAAGCCGAGACAATTGAGGAGACTAGAAAACTTGGTACTGATCATTTGTTGAAAGACCTGAAAAAAGCGGTCAGTGCTGTGAAAGGATGCATAACAGCAACCAATAACTCTGATAGTGATGATTGTGCATTTGATTCTGTGAGCACTCGAGAACTATATTACGCTGAATTAGAAGAAAACGAAAAAGCAGCTGTACTTGCAGTGGATAGTGAATTGACTCAGGTTGTTCGGAAGCAATTATGTCCAGCAATTATTAGCTTGCTAGCACATGGACTAGTTGTAGATGCAACCATTTCTACTAGCACCAGTTTGGTCACACCAATATCATGTTTGTTACCGAAAAAGTTAAATGGCTCTCTGGCCACGACACCTCTTCATCCTTGGGAGTTGTTCATTGAATACTATGAGGCAAAAAAGGGAGCAGACTTGGCAAGAGCGCCATCTAGGATGTTGACACGTTCGTTTGATCTGGAGCCATTGGTGTCCAGTGGTGGTGTACACAGGATAAGCATCAAACATTCACTGCTAGAAGCAATTCATATGGTTCTTAATGAACATAGTCCTTTGAAGAGGAGCTATGATTTGATGCTGAAAGCACTTATTTGTCTTGGACTCAACTCTGGTCGCTTAGTTCTATGGATCAGATTAATAATGAAAACATCATGGTTAATTGTAAACCACTACACAGATTTTAGCTATGTCGCACAAACTGGTTTTGAAGGAGCACTTACTATTTTGGGCAGACTAGACTCATGTGTGTTTAACTTGCCTGTGGACTTGGCTGTTAGACCTTTCAAGAATATTAGAGACGCCTTTTGAATCTCTCATTCGGCTGTATCTACACCGTTTATTTGGATAACTGGATGCAAATATTACATGTAATCAGATATAGAACGAGATCTGGTAGTCATGTTGGATTATAATGACCAAACTGAAGCTGGGCATTTTAGCAATACTCAAGAATTTTACAATTATGTGAAATATATATATATATATCGTTTAATAAGAGGTGCAATATTTTGATAGTTATCACTGTTGTTGTTGATGCATTAGGATCATGGTGTTCAATTAAATGTTTGTATTGCTGGATGATTTTTTTTCATGGTTGATATATTAATAATTCGAATAAAAGACCGATATATTTATCGCTTCCCATTGATACAATTTTTTAAATATGCTGGCATGAATTGGGACTTGTAATGTATTCGTTACCAGCAAGAAAAATCTTAACATAGATCACCATGTTCTTCACATCATTTTTGATCTGGAAGTTCAGTCATGCGAACTATTTGTTTTAACCGCTTATTTTTCGAGTTCAAATTGTTGTAAATATGTAATGAGGCTTGTTGTTGAAATTTTTATTTTATTTGTGTTGAGTAAATTTGCACATTCAATGCACTAACCTTGCTGTATGGCCACAATCTATATCTCATGCGTTGAGAATTGAGATGTTATCCATGGTGTCTGTTGGAAATATATAGTTGTGCTATTTGTCTTTTTCATATGTATCCTTTTAGTTATGTATTTATGTTAGTATGTTACTGATGTATCACTTGTTAGACATCCAATAAACATATACCACTGCCTGTGTATACTATAAATTGATGGAACAACCAACCACCTACTTATTTCTACCTGGGTGTATGTATGATCGTTTGTTGCCAAAGGTAACATCATCCGCAAATAAGTCAACATAGACCCTTCGAGAAGTCATCGAGAACACTAAGAACAGTGGTTCCCAACCTTTCTACCCTGGCGTACCGGCGAAAAAATGAAATGAGCGGAACAGAAAAGAATAACATATATATTTGCGTAATATAATGCGATGTCGGGCACCTAATATGCTTATAGACAAAAAAGGCACACTTAAAAACATTTCGCACGAAGAAAAACTATCAAATAATGTGCCATCCAAAAATTAAAATGGATGAAACATAAAATAATACCATATATTTGCGTAATGCAGTGCTGGGCACCCATTATGCGTAAGAAATGCGCACACATAAAACATCTCACAGGAAAAAACATGTACATGCCAAATCATGTACAAACACAATTAACTCTATAGTGACAATTTTGCTGTTGTTTCGTTTCCAATATAGGATTGTAAACGAGGCCTCTGAGAAGTTTCTGCAACAAGTAGCTCTGCAGCGGCGTGCAGCCAATTTCCTTGCTTCGTTTTAAGTCAAGCTAGTGATGAAAATGTTTTTTCGCATAACGCACAAGTACGGTAACTGGTTGAAAATACGGACAACGGTTTGATTGCTCGATTACTTAGCGATGGGTATTCGTTATCACGAGATAATCAAAACTGTGACAGTGATTCTTTTTTAAAACCTGAACTGTAAAGTAGAATCACAATTTTAATCAAGCCTTTTCTTTATAATGGAATTTATCATATCAATCCCTCTGCAGTTGATCAATGAATTTACATTACAATGACAAAAGTCGTCGGTAACTTGGAAACGTCGGCTCATTCAGGCTGTGCCTGCTCAAAATACTGGAAAATATCTCAGCGGCCCATGCTTTTTTGCGCGTCTCGTTACCACCTGCAGGGTCGCAACAAGTTCATATCGTACTGGGATATTATACTGTTCATGCATACCGTTTTATATGGATTGTCATATTGATCAGGAAAGCATGCGGAACAGAAAAAGCAAGCGTGCCGATTTTTAGGTTTCTAAATCTTGTGAGATTTGATGAAGCGCATTCGCGATGCGAAAAAGCGAAAAGTGTGATTACTCGGCGCCTAGATGTCGCGAAAGACTCTATAACATATAGTGAATTCAGTCAAGGAGGCCTCAAAATGATGGATCTATTTTAATTGACTGTATTTTTTCACTCCATATAAATTTCCATATAATAGTCTGTAATCTAAAGATAAAATAATCTGAAATATATTCAAAATTAATTTTATGCCACGCTTTGGACATCGTTAAGTTTTTGGGTGATTAATATCCTCCCTATCATGGTCAAGTTTCGTTCTTCCAAAGATTGGATACCCTTTCTGCTTTATCTATTACATTTTGCCCAGTTTTTATCTCGAAATATTGTACTATTGCCAAAATATGCTCCCCAGTAGTTTAATTTCATTCCGTTTTACTTTATTTCGCAATAATCTTCATCTATGGCCCATGCTCTTGCGGTTCCACACAAATGGATATTACTTTTAGATTTATTTATTTTTAGTCCACAACCCCTCGTAGAATAATTTCATTACGTTAAGTATGTCATCAATTGATGATAATTTACTACAGTGAAAGTGGTGTCATCAGCATACCGTTTAAAAACTTCTCTTTTTATTAGAGCTATTCTAAATCCGATTATGTTGTTATTAATTTTTAATTTGAAGCCAGCAATTCAGATACCAATATGTATAATAAAGGAGCAATTGGACAATCTTGTCGAACACCCCTAGTTAATAGAAACTCATGTAATAAAAAAACCATTGGTGATAATATTGATCGAGTATTTGTAAGCAGGGGTGACCCATTTGATGATGTAAGACCCAAATCCCAATTTTCTCATAATTTTTAGTATTAAATGTCTATCCACTGAGTCGTATGCTTTTTCTTGGTCTAGATAGGATTGACAGTCCATTTGTTACACTTTTATTAGTAAACAATGACGGAACTCAATAATAACTGAAATGAAATAAAAAACAAGAGTTAACATTAAATCACACACTGCACAGTCTACATAAATATTCACTATCTCCCCCAAGTCTTTTGTGCGCCGTTCCTTAGGAGTAGCGGGGTATGTTAAGACTGAGTATATACAGTGAAATGTTCATACTTCTGAGGAATTTAATCTTTTTGCCATCTAGGAGCATTTCAAGCACGATTCGAACGTCGGGGCATCCATTCAGATGACGTGTCAACATCTATGTGAGCGTACGTAGGCCATGAAGGATATTCCACTCCTGCTTTTGTCGCGGGCTGTTAGGATTTGTGACTTCAGCTTGTGTTTTGTGATCGTTGGCTTCGATCGGTTCGTCGTGTTCCCCCGATGGTGTCACGTCGTTCCCCAAAGGCTCTTTACTCGTGTATTGTCTTTGGGCAGGTGGTGTTTGAGACCGCAGTGTCCACAAGTGTGGTCATATGCCGGACAATCCGCTTGCCTGATTTTTGGGACTGCCCTGGCGCCATGGCCGGGTTCGCCGCAGTACGAGCATTTATTTTGAACATTTCTCTTATCTCGTCTGTAGGAACTGCTACGCGCAGCTTCAGCACCCATCGAGTCGAACAGGCGTGTAGCTGATCGTTTTCCAGATTCCTCAGTTTCCACAAATAGGAAGACTTCCTCGAGTGTCATGTCCTGATTTCTTTCACCCAAAAGATCGAGTTGTATTTCCTGATCAGCTATGCCTCGCGTGAGCACGTCCCGTAAGATAGCATCTGTATAATTGACAATTGCTTCGCAAGAAGGGCATTTAATCTGGAATTTGCATATTCCGGCTTGGCCACGTAGGCGGGCGCCAAAAGATCGGACAGTTTCATCTCTGACCTGTCGCATGTTATGCAATGCTACTCTTGCAACCTTCACGGACTGACAGTCGTTTTATGGCAGCTATAACGTGCTTTTTTGATTTACCTGCCAGACTGCCGCCCGCTGCCTGCGTGATGTCTTTTCGAAGGGCTTCGTCGCAGCATTCCAGTAGCTGCATTACTCTATCGCTACCCTCTATTTTCATTGCGTCTACATATTCCTTCCATCTCGTTTCAAAGTATGCCCATTCCTCCGATGTTCCAGCCATGGTGATTGTTGGCCTACGCACCTTTTCAACCGGCGATGAGTTGTGGGTGATGGAATGTGCTGTTATCAAGGCAGCCACGATGGCATCGCTTTGGTCTGGTGTTTGGTATGTACAGCTTTCGATGGGGCAACGGACGACGGGCATGATGAATGTAAGCACTGGTGCTAGTCAATAGTCACGTTAGCCAAATGTCGATAACTAGATATTAAGCTAGAGTTCCGTCATAGATAGGATTGACAGTGCATTTATTACACTTTTATTAGTAAACAATGACGGAACTCAGTAATAACTGAAATGAAAAATAAAGAACAAGAGTTAACATTGAATCACACACTGCACAGTCTACATAACTATTCACTATGTTCAATTGATAAGACTTTGTTGATTGGCCTAAAATATGTCATCTCTTATCACAAGCATGTTGTCATGAATAGATCTGCCCGGGACGACAGCTGTTTGGCTTTCGCCAACTTGACACTTGTTTCATTCTGTTTGCTATAACTTTAGCAATTAATTTGTATTCAAAATTGAGGAGTGTTATTGGACGCCAGTTCTTCCATGGTAATTCCCCCTATATTTGAGTCCTTTGTCAATTCTGTTAGACTATGGTATCCTTTGTATAACACTATAAGAATTAGTCTAATATTTTTCCAAACTTGTAAACAAAATACTTTAGTCAAGCCATTCAATCCTGGAGCTTTGTTTGTTTTTAATTTTTTAAACGCAATGTCTAGTTCCTCAGCACTAATTTCCGAATCTAATATTTATTTTTCTTCTTCTGTTTTTTGTTTTGATATATTGTTCAATAATCTATTCTAGAGTAGACTGTATATCCGTATTTAGATTTTGGTTTTTCCTATACAGGTTTCTATAACATTTAATTTGCTCTGCCTGAATCTCTTCTAATTTGGATGTCATACTACCATCTGTTTTTCTAATTGATCTGAACATTTTTGAATTGGCCCTAGAATATTTAGTGGACTTCTCGCCTTATAATAGCCCCCTTTATTTTTTGTGTTATAGCTCAGTTTCAATTCCACTTCAATCTTCTGTAACTTCTTTTTAACGTCCTCATTTTCCACATATCTTTCTATCTAGCTATTGACTTCTTTATATTGCTTGATCAATTGACTCTCTTTTTCTGTTTCCGCTGTCTTTTTCTTCTTTGCACAGTATATTGCCCAGAATCTAATTTTATTTTTGCATTTATCGCAGTAAGCTCCCCTCTCTGCCCATGGCATGTTGTATAATTCTTGAAACCACTTTTTTTTTAATTGCGGTAATACCCTTACAAAAATATTCGTACTCTCCTAATTTTAAATTATACTTCCAGTATCCAGACCCATGTTTTCATATACTTAATTTTAGATTGACAGAGAAATGATCTGATATTGGACATGCTTGGATTTCACAATTTTGTATATTGCTCAAATAATTTGCCAAAACATACCAACGATTTAATCTGCTCATTACTGAGTAACTATCAAAATTTTTTTGTTTCCAAGTATAATTTTTAGATCTGTCATTGAAATTTCTCCATACATCTTTTAAATTCCATTTTTGTACAAAATGTCTTACTAGCTTTGTGCTATTGTCATCTTTAAAATGATGATTATGGTGTTTATCATTTTTATTTAGGACGCAATTAAAATATCCTCCTAGTATTTTATTCAAATTGGAACGGACCTATTTGCTCCATAAGGATTTTGATTTTATTTTCCA